ATAACTCCTGTAACAAGATTAGGTTATTTTTCCAATCARTTCCATCTTCTGGCCAGCACACCATTAAGCAGGCATTTTYCAGTTCATAACTGTAGGAGAGACAATACAGCARACTTTGTGAGGAAGGCCTTGTATGACTGTGAGATGGTCTGTTTTTTATAATTATTTTAATTGGTCTTGTAAAATATCTTTCTTTTCCCAACAAATGTTGCCTTGGTATATCCTGAAGGCARTCACAGCTACAACAATATTACTGCTGCCCTGAAAGTCACAGCTGAATATGTCAGTGGGAGTCAAAGTAAAAGGTRCAATAGAAATGTTATGAATTATTATTAAGATACATGAGAAAGCTCTGCAGGGAAGAACTGGAACATCTTGGGAARTGGTCTGCAGTCAGCCAGCTGGGAAGGCTGAAGACAGAATGTTAATAGAAATGTTGTTTTAAAAAATCACCATGACATCAACATTTATATCAAGTGCCTTGTGCTGGAGCTGCTTATATAACTGGGATTATATTAGGTGTGATGAGCAGATGTGCAGTCGAGAGGGGTTGTGCTGTGCTGGGGAAGGTGGAGTTGGCAGCGAGCTTGTAGCTAAAGCTGCTTCTGTAGGAATCCTTGTTTTCAGTGCCCTGTAACTTTGTACTGAAGCATTTAACTGAAATTTCCCATTCTTGTTTTATCTCTGGCTTAATAGSTTCGGCTTTCTGGAAATGTTAGAATGAGATTTTTAAATACCTAATTGTGCCTGATGTGTCACTACTTGGGCTGCTTGTGCAGAGTTATTTTGTATATGAGAAAGGAAAATAGCTTCARCTGACCAGTGTTACTGGTGTGGGTTCCAGTAGCATATTTGTGTCAATTATGGGAAAGAAAAATCCAGAACTGAGTCCCCTAGCATGCAAGAGAAGTATCTTGAGGGAGTATGGCAAGTACCATACATCATCCAGCAATCAGTCTGGTATTTCCCTGGCAGAATTCTCCTCCATTAGTAGGAAGAGAAAGGGAAGAATCACAGTTCCAGACCAAGTAAACTAAAACACAAATTTTTGTAATTGTGAAGTGAAGCCCCTCTGGCAAAATTTCTTGGTAAGAAGGATGATAGTTATATGATGAGTATCTTCTAAAAAATGACATAAGCAATTCAGAAGTAGTTCAGGGACTAGAACAAGTGATGAATATTKCACTAAATGTACTGTTGGAGATACTAGTTGCAAACATACTATATCCTTTTTTTATCCTCTGAGCAAAAAAATGCTTTAAGGCAGATTTCTTCTGAAGAGCCATGGCAGGATTAGGGTTTAAAGCACAGATGCTACCCTGTAGAAGTGTACCTTTAGTATTTCCTATTTTTATGACATTTTGAAGGTCAGCTGTCTAGGGAACACGGTGGGGTTATGCAAGATGTTGAGAGGTCTGAGAAAGCTCTGCTGTCTTTTCTGGAGAACTCTGTTTTCATCCCCCTTCTTGCCAAGGCAAGCCGTAACATATATAAAATCTGTGTTCACACAGACTTCTCACAGAGGAAAGAAGCTGCATGTTTTCTTTTGCAAAATCCATAAAAAAAGTTTATGTCTGGATAATGAAAATTGGGTACTACTCTTCTATAAATATATAAATGTATTTATWWATTAATATCTGCTTGCRAAGGACTGGCTCTCTYGAGTAGCCTGAATTGCTTCTGCTACTCACAGGGGCTGATGAGTTACTGCATTTTTAGATTAAGCAACTGTTCATCAAAGTTGTTCTCATCCCAGCCAGATTTTTGTCCTTCCTRTGACTACTTTCCATATTGAAAGGAGACAGTTACGCCATAAATTACTTCTTTTCAAAAAACCTTATACTGAAATAGAATTTGGTCTTAAGGCAAAGTCACTGCTTCTTGGAATTCAATTTCTCAACTATAATTATTTTCATTAATTTCTCTGTCACTGTCAATAGCTTTTTCTTCTCTAGAAAGACATCAGAGGCTCCCCCTTGTGGCTGTGTTAATTTCATTTGGATTTTGTTTTTTTCTTTAAAAAAAAAGTTGAAAAAGCAAAGCACCCCGTAAGATTGAAAGCCCAAACCAAAAGAAAAAAAAAATAGCTGTTGTACAGAAGCAGCAATGTAGATTCATAGTGATGAGGGAAAAGGGAATTTCTTGCAGGCAGAGTTGAAGRGTTTGCAGCATAATATGAGAATTAATTTGACACATTTTGAGCACCATWGCTAATGAATGGGATGCTCAGATAGGAACAGGATTCAGGATTTCTAGTGAGTGAAAATCAGACCAGTTATCTCACTTAGAGTGGGAAACTACTTTGATTTTTACWTTTTTTTTTCATAGAATTGTAACGCACAGAGGTTTTCTGAAATAATGATGGGGTCTGTTGCGCTCAAAAATGCATCACACAATTCCCATTAGTTATTTATTTTGTTTTTGTTTTCCTCCCAGGCTTTCCAAGCATATGTAAAATAATTCAGCAGTTGGKCTCTGCTGTTTGTTAGGAATCCATCTGGCAAATAGTGTGGATGCAGGAAGTTGAAGCTGATGCATTTCATCTCCTGGCTGTTGCTGCAGCTGAGCTGCCACACGCTACCTGTGCAGGGGGATGGGACAGGCACCAGCTCCAGGCAGCCTCTGCCTGCCCTGGAAGTGGGACTGACTGCCCCATTTCCCAAAGCAAGGAGTGGTTTTAGGTAGTGCCATTCCCATTTCTATGCTGGGAGCTCATGCTGTCCAGTTCATGCGTTTTCTGTAGTTGTGAACAAGATGCGCTCCCCCCTCGTCACGTTCTGCCTCTCCCCTCCTGCTCTGAAAGCTGCCCACAAGCACTGCAGCCATAATTTACAGCAAAAACCCTTCAAATGGCCCAGAGGGTTATAAAACTGGCAAATTTTCCATGGAAGTTTGAAGAAGCCTAGAATCTACAACAAAAAGACAAAAGCCCAACCAAAGTGCAGAGAAGCTTGTGGGTTATTACTGGATTTTTATACAGTCGTGATTCTCGTGAGGATTTCACAGTTTCGCTGGAGTCTGTAGCAGTGGATGAGACAGATTAAAACACTTCAGAARCTGTCTCCCCAAAGAGAAAATGTATCACACAATGTCATTACCAAAAAGAATATAACTCTTCATTGCCGTTATAAAKCACACTAAAGCAATTTCCTCCCTCATTTGGGTATGCTGGATTTCAAAAGTAAGTGTAAGCATGTGGGTTTTTGGCATCAGATTGAGTTTACCTGATTGCTGATTAAATGAACTGTAAAAAAAATGCTGAGCTCATCCCAATTTGGAGTATCTGTTCCTGTATTTTTTCCATACCATGTAGACCTGCTGATAAAGCTGAGAGAGCATCCCTTGCCTCCTGAGAGAAAGCTGAGATGTTTTAGCCAGAACTGTATACAGAGGCTTAGAGAAGTAGCAATTTTCTCAATTTTTCCATGGGATACAGTTATTTTACCTCAGTTTTCACTTGATTTCCAATTAGCCTTGTGTGTGTGGTGCCCTGTGTACATCATTGTACCTATGACACAGGAAATACGCTGAGTTTTAGGATGCACAAGGACATATATCTGTGCAGTTTTTAAATTAAGACAAAGGAAAATAGAAACAATACAGAGTTATCATTCCCATACCCATACCTAGTTCCAACAGGTTGCTGATCAGGCACAAGAAGCTGCATTTTTTGGGAGCAGTAGGCCTTAATGCTTGGAGGACAGGCCTGCTTGGTGAGTGGGAAAGAGCTTTAGGTCAAGCCATGTGTGATATTTCARTGTAGGAACTCGTAACTACCGCTGCAGGTCACTCGTGCCTGATGGGTGATGATTGATGTGTCTTTGGTGAGCAGCATGTGGGCTACCAAGTGGCTTGAGTCAGAAATCAGGAGCAGAGATAATTCTTTTCAGCCCAGGAACAAGTGTTTCTTAACAATAAGCCAGTGAGATCAATGGGAATCTCTGTTTTCATGTACGGTGACATAGTCACAGAAAATGAAACTCATGTGAAGGAAGGCAGCTTTTTCCAGGAACAAATAGTTTTAACATTTAAACTATTTAAAGATTTAAACTTAAACATTTTCAGTCCAAGGTTAGGGCAGCCTATGTCAGAGACCAGCAAGTGTGGCAAGATGCTTTCTTGTCTGTGGATTTTATTGCCCAAACTCAAAGACTTCGTGGAGRACAACCTTCAAAGTGGAAAGCAGCTTGGTCTGGCAAAGGATGGATGAATTAAGTGGAGTTTTGAGATGGGATTTGAAAGAAAACTGAACACGAAGGGGGAAAAATGGGTTGATAGGAAGGTGTCATGAAAAAAGATAATTTCAAGCCTCAGGAAAAACAAAACGATATCCTGGGGAGAATGTGGAAGAAAATTAGGGCACAGGAAAAATGGAGATTGGGGACATATAGTGAAGAAGAACAGGATGAGGGGCTTGAGCTTCACAAGGAAAAGAAAGGAAAGCAGTGAAGGGAACCGGGGCTGTGCTTTCACTGACAGGACACACTCCCACAGTGGAGTTGGGGGGTTCTGATGGGGTCCAGCAGCTGCCCCAGAAACAGCCAGGGGATGAGTCCAGCCAGAGCAACAGGAGAGTCTGATGGGTCCAACACGGGTCCAAGGGTCACCCAGAAGATGGGACTGGAGACAGGCAAGGTCTGGGAGCCCAGGGCTGAGCGACCTGGAGCTTCTGGCCATGGGCAGAGGGTATGAGTGGGGGTTGCAGGTGGGAGCAGTCAGAGCTCTCAGGGTCCTGGCAGGGATTGACATAATGGCAGAGACGTGGGAATAACAGACATGGAATTCGAGGCAGTTCTAGAAAGGCAGTTTTGGTCCTGGACACTGGATGTCAGATCATGTTGGGTTACTCCCATCAGTCAGAATGGGAAGGGAGAAAGGAAAAGATATTTTAAAAGAGGTGTTTGGAAGGTGGCACCCARCAGAGCCACAGAAAAAAGCTGGGTGAGGATAAAGGAGATATGGAAACAAAGGGGCATTATTGTTCTCGGGAGGACGGTAAGATGGGTCATGATAAAGAGAAAAGGGGTGACATAGTGTGGTGTTCAGGGAACTGCAGAGATCAGATCAATATTCTTCTTCCACCAGCATTATCCAACAACCAAGCTCAGAGTGAAACTGATTTTGAGTTATTGGAGGTGGAAAATATCCATGTATTTTCATGTGCAACAGAGACGAGAAGTCTGGCCTAATCCAGCGAGGCCTGCAAGAATTTTGCAAGAACTGGRTGGTSAGGCCCTGGCACAGGTTGCCCAGAGAAGCTGTGGATGCCCCATCCCTGGAAGWGYTCAAGGCCAGGTTGGATGGGGCTCTGAGCAACCTGGGCTAGTGGRWGGTGTCCCTGCCCATGGYATGGTGGATTRGATTGTCTTTAAAATTCCTTCCAAACCATTTAATGATTCTGTGACCTTYCTAAAGCAGTTATCTCTGGTCTCAAACAAGGTTCAAGACAGTGTCGGGTTGTGAAAAAKAAAGTTCTCTAAGGTGGTCAGAGTCTGAAAGTGGGAGTATTTTAGGCATGYTTAGCTCACTTACAGTCATTATGTGGTATGACACATTGGACTAGGCATGCACCTGTCTTCACTATAAGGTAATCTGTGGTGTGGTTRTAGGAATTAAACAATCCTATGGAATCATTAGATTGGGACTGTCATGCTGTAGTCACAATAGCTGCTGAAAGGCTATGCCTACTTAATAAGCTGCTCAGCTAACTCAGTTATTCGGGATACATTTGTGGAAAGAGGCTGTAAGTGTAAAGTGTAGATATAATAATTAGGAAGAACAAGATTGTCTAAATACCCCAGGTGCTGTTGCAAGTCAGGAAGCTTGATGTGCTGCTCCTCTCAGGGAGGCTGCAATTCACCAAACGCCGGAAGGCGGGCTCGGAAAGCTGTGCACACGAAGAAATGGCTGAGCCAAATATTTTATAAAAACAAAGGAAGATTTGAAGAGAGAGACCCTGAATTAAATCAGGCAACCTATTATGTGYGTGGCTGGAGTCTGGTGTAAAGAAGGAGCCAGACTCCTGCATTTATTTAAGTCTGCTTACTATATAATTCAGGGTAGTGAGGTGAACTAAGGATGAAACATTAGCTTCAGCATAGAATTTTTATTCTGATCACTGGAGCCTAAAGTTATTAAAAGAACAAACACAATTACGACATCCATGGGGACTGGCACACATATAAATCTGGATATGCTGCCTGTTCCTGCAAAGCATATGTATGGATCTGTGTGCTGCCTGCTCTTTGTTTTAACTAGGTTTGCTGCAGCTGTTGCTCTGAAAGGAGCCATCTAACGCTCTGGGGAAAGAGAGGCTGCAGAAACCCTTAAATGAATACCTATTAAGAAAAATAAGTTTTAAATAAATTGCTTGTGTATGCGGTTAAAGCTCCTGTCCCTTGAATGAGAACAAAGAACTATCACTTTGCTAGCTCTAGACTTTTCCTGGTTCTCAGCTAATCAACTTACAGTACCATAAAAATTTAATAACAGCTTATTCTTCCTCTATTTCTTCAAAATGATGAGAACCTATTTTCATGAAAAGTTGGGATGTGAATGCTTTCTGAAGAACAAAAGCCCATAATCTTTACTTTTAACTAGCATATGTGATTTTCAGATTGGCTTCTATGAAAATATTTTGAGCATCAGGTAGCTCAGCAATACCTATTATCTGTGCACAAGAATACCCTAACTCTCAATCTTTCAGCTGACTAATAGTGATGTGTATATGTTATATAAAGTGTATTACACTTGATCTGACAGTCTTGACTTCAGTGTTGTGAGTGCTGAGTACATTAAGGAGTCTGTAGTTTTTAGAGGTGTCATCTGGAAAAAAAAAATCAGGTTTTTCTCATCAATTCTCTCATTTCAATAATTTAAGATTTTAGAGTTTTTTTTAAGGTAGTGAGGTTAAAAATCTTGGAGGTATGATATAAAATAAAACATAGCTGTATTAGAARAAAGGTCATGTTAGACTAATCTGTAAATCTCCTGAGAAAACAGCTGCTTTCCCAAGGATGGGAAATACAGATGATATTGTCCACCCCGACTTKTGTAAACTGCCACCGGGGAAAGTTCTTGTGGAGGTTTGGATTCACAGAAGAATTGGAGAATTGAAAGAAAACTGATGAGAAAACTAGGGATCAGATTGGATTAAAATGGGAAATACTGGACCAGAGGGGTCTTTGTACACCAGTGGTTTTTTGGTGATGCCACAAAAATTGAGTGTGCAAGTGGAATTTATCACTGACACTTTTCTGGATTTTTTAATAGGGGGTTAAGCATGCTGGCTGTGTAGATGCAGAACATTTGAATTATAAATGTTTCCATCTTGCTCCCTGGCTCTTCTGTGATTTTGCTCACTTGTTCCAATGCTGTGAGCAGCCTCCCATTGCTTTCTCTCCATTGGGAGTTCCTTGGAAGGGCTRTGTGAGGAAAATGGGCACACAAGGATTAAGCTAAATACAATTATGAGTCAAAAAGAAACRAAAAAAAAGCCTCTGCATCATCTTAATCTCTCACTGATTTTTCCAGTTTTCTCAGTATGGACAGAATAACTCACAGGACAAAGCACATTAAATGAGTAATTTAAGTTTAAAGGATTTGGATATTATGACAATAYTTCATTATTTGTACCCAACTGGATTCCTGCTGCCTTTCTATACAATCTTTGGCTTTATCACATACTTGGAAAACAGCAAGATGATTATGTTTCATTTTCCTTCAGAAAATGCCTTTTCATAAAGGGAAACAACAGACTAAATCCTGTGCTTGATGCTACCAGTGCTTAGCAGAGCACGGAAATATGCAGTGACTTTTCAGTATGGAAGGAAATTAATTCTCCTTGGGTCCAAATTAGGACCAAAATCAATAAGGGCATTATTTACTTTTTTTTTTTTTTTTCCAGTGGATATTACCTGCTTGCTTTCTAAAGGGTTTACTTGAGTAGAAATGCTTTGCAGGGTGCTCTGAAGCAAATGAGGGAGGTGCCAGTCCTCACGTGGGAAATACCTGGTGAACCCACAAAGCCACCACACCTTTCTTTACATTTTCTATACCTGTAGGTCAATAATAGACCAACCTGGCAAGGCTGAGCAAGGAAGTACCAGCATAAAACATATCCAGAGGAGAAGGTGAATAAAAAATGGATGGCTGTGCTGAGGTCCCCATTTGAGAGGAAAGGCCATGGTTTCATGGGTTGGTGCACATAGAGAAAAATCACTGTAGGGCATAAGAGCTGTCAGAGTGCCCAGAAGCATCAGAGGATTTGTGGTAAGGAATCAGTGCAAAAGCTGGAAACAGTGGCTGTCTGCTCTCCTGGTTTAGTGTGTATCAGCTTTTTAAATCCCTTGTCTCTCACTCTTGTCTAGCGTGCACTTCATTTAAAAGTTTAATATTACAATATTCACACATTAATCCTGATTGTCCCTGTATCCAGTTCTGCCTGGTCTTGGGAAAGTATAAAATCGATTTACACAGCGCAGCTGAAAAGCAAAAAATTGTTGGATTACCATACTGTGGTATACAATAAAAATATAGTGATATCTAGGGAAGTCTGTAGCTGATGAGAGCATAAATATCAACGGCCCAACTCACACCCYTGAGAATTTGATTCCTGCATCTTGTAGAAACAAGGATCTCTGCTGAACAGTGTGACATTTCATCACTTTGGATTTGCTGTGATGAATAATATTATATGCTATTGGCCTAGAAGAACTATTACTATAGTAACTAGCTCATGATTCATCTTTATGTGGGTTTTTTTTGCTATATTTCCTAAGGGTTGCCTGTCTAGACTAAGATTGTTTAAACTAACTCATGGTAATTAATTTTTTCCAGAGTGCTAAAAATATGGCACAGATAAACAACAATACTTAGTTACTGCTTTTTGAAAAGCACTGCAGGCCCATAACGTTCTTRAAATTATGGGAATATTGTTTTATTTTATTTGTCACATTTTTATTAGTAGCTTTCTAYGTTGTTATTAATCCAGTTTAGTGACCTAAGGCTGGATTCCCACATTGACAGTATTGCAACTCTAATGAAACCCTTAGACACCTAATATATAAAATGTCACATTGGAGGATGAAAACAGAAATGGGTTTGGTTGGTTTAAATCCAAGTAATGAGCTCACTTATTCATTTAAATYGGTAAAAAGAAAATCTTGGCATAAGTGATGTATTAATATTTTRCATTCTGGATTTGTACATATTTAATTCCTTATGATGATGCTTATGGGTCACCAGTCCACCAGCACACATTGGCAAATATAATCTTTATTACAGTGCCTTATCAGCAAAATTAATAGGAGGATGTGTTAGCTATTTGCCCATTTATTGAAGCATATAGAGAGCTTAGTGTGCATTTACTACATTCTTGGTTTTATTATGGTAAAAGGTGGTGTTTGATTATTTTTTAAAATTGGATTGTTTCAAAAATTAGTCATCCTTGTCAAACCATGTTTAGAATTCATAGAAATTAGAATTAGTAAAATAAATATAAATTAGAATAAATAAAATAGGAATTAGAATTCATAGATATTCGGGTTCCGATAAGAAGTGTGGAACTACCATTTCCAAGAAGAACCATTTTAAAGTAGTTTAAATTACTTTAAGGATAATAAATATGCACACAGATAAGCTTATTTAAGCWCATTCTGTGTTTTAAATTCACTTAGAAACATGAAGCATTATTGGAAATTGAAGAAGTCATTCATTCTCACATGCTTCTTTTTTCACAGAATGGAAAAAACCTCYCTGGTTTTGTCCTTTTTAAAATTTCTGATGGAGTTTGCAGCTTGAATAGAACTGTTCATTAAACTGAACCAGATGAATAAATGGAGGTTCAGAAAACATTCACCTTATATTTGCAGAAAGCTGACCAAACTTTGTCTTCAGTTTTTTAATAATTTCYACCTAACACTTGATTTGAACTCACCCCACTCTAAGCCTCAGAGGACAAGTTTTATAATTTTCAATGGTTTTGTTAGAAAACTAAACACCCATTTTAAAAGTTTAGGAACTGGGAGGAGGGTGTGGGATTTATTGTGGGGTAAATTGGCTTTTATTCACCCTGAATCATAGGATAGCCATGGTAACTTTCAGTAACAAAAACACAGAAGTGAGCTCTGTCAGCAAAATCAGCAACAAA